ATATTTGCAGTAAGATGGTCCAACCACTACACATCAACAGCTCTGTTTAATTTACAAAGTGCATTGATTGTCACATACCTGCCATGCTCGTTATTTGTCAAAGCTACTTTGTAGCCCGGACTCCCTTAGAACAGCAGTGTCACTTCTATAGAAAAGACTGTATAACGTCTTGAGTTCATTTATACCAGTTCTCTATATATACACGGCTGCTAGTCACGTGACCAGACACGGCTCTGCGGACAGAGCCATGATTGGTTCGTGATCTTTGGGGCGTGGCTTCATATATGACTGCACAGATTTCCACGACTTTAGGTTGTAATTTTTATCAATGCAAAAGGGAAAACGTGTATACTTTTTTTTTTTTAGATTTTTAGATACTGTTTCATACATATGTTGTGTATATTTGCATATAATAAAAAATCTATTCATATATTTATGCATTTGTATATTCCATATTAATACATACATTCTATTGATGTTCATGGCACATAATGCATGAACTCGTGTTAACTAAAAGTCCTGCTCTAAAATGGTGAGAGTCAGAATGGAAATACTAATGATTGCTAATAATACACCACAGAATTATGATATTAGGACTGTTTGTCAGCTATACTAACTGAATCAACAGACTGTACACATGTACAGCAGTTTCACCTGATAGTGAGACCAATATTGAGACATCACTAGAATAGAATAGAATATATATTATGTATAATCTATTATCTATTATATAGAATAGAATAGATATAATGTGTATATATGAGCTGATGGGTGTCTCATGCCACCTACTGGTTATAGTTTAGTTGTGCTTTCATTTTTATTCATAAATGCTTTCTGTATTAATATTAATTAAATAATTCTGGATATTTATTTCTTATTTATATTATAAATATCTAGAATAAATATCTATAATTCTATATTATATCTATGCCAGTTATATAGCCTATGTATTTGACAGGCTAACTGTAAATAATCATTTACATTATTAAATGTCGGCACATTACATAATTTTGTACCTTGTATAAGTTTCTTGAAAAATTTGACAATTATTGATTATTAATTATATTAAGGCCATTGTTGTTTTAGCACACACACACACACCCACACACACACTCACACACTCACATCCACACACACACACCCACACACTCACACACACACAGGTTAGTCCCTTCTATTTATTTTACTTAAAATTAAAATTTCAATTTTACTTAAACTTTAAAAAAAAACTGAAACATTGAAGCTATTGTTTACTGCCTCCTCTATTTAAAATTGTACATATTGCATTTCAGTATATAATTTAATCTGGGATGAGTATCATATTCTTTTCAATTTATAGATACATAGTCAATTTATGTATGTCTAGATTTTCTCTAAGAGACCAACAGAAGGACCAGATGGCTTAAAGCATTTATATAGTATATTCATATGCTGAATGGAATATTTGTAAATGCTTATTATTTTATACATTGTGTTTGTACATATTTTATATGAATGTCTAATACAAAAATGAATAAAATATAAACTGTGTATTGATTTATTTATTTATCAAGGATAACACACACACTTTAAGCCAATAATTCAAGCCAACACAGACCAAGTATTTAAAAAAGACTATTCCATGTATTCCAGTTGAAGAAAGGAGGTCGAAATGCACTTGATTTCAATACTGCTCACTGCATGTTTAAGAACTAAGGATACATAATTATTTGTGCTTTAAAGACAAAATATAATATATCATCCCGAACCGTTTGGAGGTTTGGATTTTTTATATGTAATTTTGATTAAGCTATCTTATTTTCATAAACAGGTTCATGTGGATGCTCACTTATAAACAATAAACATAACTTCTCTCCACACAAATCTATTATTCGGAACAATACAAGTATATAAGAATAAATCTTTATTTTGTTAGAAACTGGTACAACAATGGTATTGTACTGTTGAGACAATTATTTAAGTGCAACAGTCAAATTTCTATAATTATTATAAGATTCTTTGCAATATTATTTGATGCCATTTCCGATGGCTATATTCAACTATTCTCGAGTGATATAATTAATATTGCATCTAATGTTTAAACATACAAAATAAAACATCTGTTTAACTTGTAAATACATATTTTATAAAATACACAAACAAAAATTGGCAAACAATAAACCGAACATCATACTGTTTAAAATTGAACTAATTAAATTTATTGAGACACTGAAAGATACGAAAAATCAAAAGGAAAAACAAATGTAGGCTCTAGAATTCTCTTTTCGTTTGATAATATATTTTAAGTTATTCCCTGGATAATTAAAAAATGTATTATATTATATTATTATATTACATTATAGTCATCAATCTATTGCTTAAAGGGGTCATATGATGTTGCTAAAAAGAACAGTATTTTGTGTATTTGGTGTAATGAAATGTGTTTATGCGGTTTAAGGTTCAAAAAACACATTATTTTCCACATACTGTACATTATTGTTTCTCCTCTATGCCCCGCCTTTCTGAAACGCGTTGATTTTTACAAAGCTCATCGGTCTGAAAAGCGAGGTGTGCTCTGATTGGCCAGATATCCAGTGCGTTGTGATTGGCCGAATACCTCAAGCGTGTGACGGAAATGTTACACCCCTCACATACTGTGATGCTGTGTCAGGCCGGAGCGATGATTCAAAACCGATAAAACCCATTATAAACGAGGCATTTGTTGCATCCAGTGGGGACATAATTACGGATTGTAATTCGGAGGCCGGAGGGCTTGCGGCAACCACATGTGACGACTCCGGGCTGGACTCCGCTTCTTCCACGGTGAAAGCCGGTCCGGCGATCGACAGCGCGAAGTTGATATTTTTCTCAGCGACTAGCACGGATCAGCTCCAGGCATGACGAAGCGATATCGTCCTCTTTTGGAAGACCAAACAAAGAAGTTTCGCTTTCACAATGAAACACAGCGTCTTCATGACATGGCAGCGGCGGCAACAACAATACTACAGCGAGAATAAAAGTTACGCCTTCTTTCTTTGCGTGAACATTTGTGTGGCGTTATGCCAATCTTCCCACATCATGACGTAGACGTGTGGGGGCGTGTTAGAACGAGCCGTTTTAGGAGGGCATGGACAAGTCTTAACTTTTATAAAGAATATCTCTTTGGATTTGAGACTTTAGTCTTTGCAACTTTACAGATCTTCTTTATGCACCAAGAGCTTGTAACATTCCAAAGAGAAAGGAAAAATTTAAATCGTATCATATGACCCCTTTAAGTGTGAGCTGCGGGGTCATGTGATAAATGTTACTTTTCTCATAGCTGTAACATACTAACCAAAGAAAAAGAACAGTCGTTTGTGATTACAGGAAATGGCATTTTATTGAATTATTTTCTAACGATTTCTAAGGTGGATTTTCATTTACGGATTTTCAAAATGACTAGAATTGATAGAATTCAACAAAGACACACAGGAAGACTCGTGTGTCTCACCGCAACACTTTTGAGTGATTCTGTCATGAACGCCCCTTTACCCGCCGTCAGATGTGTCGAACTGACCGCGGCGCTCATTTGCGAAGTTCAATAGATTTCTCCGTGGATTATTGTCAAGTTTAATTTGCGGAGGTGGGGATTTTAGAGACGTTGCGCATGTAAACCCCGAGTCAACATGTCGGGAAGCGTTGCTGTAAGAGTTTTGTCTTATCTAAGCAGAGCATTATAATTTCTACAACCGAATAAGACGAACTGTGTGAACATACGACGACCATTCACTGCCAAACTGCAAGGTAGCAGCTATATTTTAACCAAGTGGCAACCTCCCGCTCTCTCTGGTGAAGCCAACACGGAAGGTGACTTAAACTATAATTCATCAACTGGCCGCTAGAGGCTGGCTGCAAAAGGGAGTCAATCCCATAGACTCCCCATGTTAAAATGCCCAACTTTGCAGCAGAAAAAAACGTTTACAGCCTGGTTCAAAAAATGATTTTGGTCTATATATCTAATTTTGCCCTTCATGACAGCTGTAAGGGGGGGTGAATTTTTTTATAACTCCCTTTAAATTATATTAGGCCTTAAAGTGCTGCATAATTAAGGGCGTGGCCACTCGAGTGACAGGTGGATTGCCGCTGCTGTCACCACCGTCGAGCTAGGTGGGCGTGGCTTCAGCAACCTGCTCCCGCCTCTTTGCCCATTTTCGATTATCTGGGAGTGACGCGCGGTGACGCGCTGCCAAGATGGCGACGGCCGCCTCCGCCCACTTTTGAGCTTCAAAAACGCTCTTCGGAAATCTACGGGTGACGTCACGGACACTACGTCCATGTTTTTATACAGTCTATGATTTTAACCCGCATACGGAGCAGTTCACACGCACACACACGTGACTTGGTTGTGCGATCATATCACTAGTATGTACAGGAATGTTATAGTCCTTTAAAGTGTACTTTAAATCACTACTTTATTTTATGGTGTGAATAGGTGTATGCACACATGTTTATTCACAGCAGTTTGTGTATTCTGATGTAGGCTAATTATTTTGCACACCTGCTTGCTTGATTATGTTGAGGTGCTTGTGTGCACACCTATATAACTCCTGCATTTAAGAGAGAAAGAAAAATATATAGTAAACAATTGTACTTTTTTTTTTTGTATTGGACTTTTTTAAACTGAATTCTTGAAGGATCAACAAGTAACATTTTAACCCGTTTGTCCTTTGCCAAGCCAGAAAACATATGCTTTCAAGCTTTTGTTAATCCTTTTATATATATATATATATATATATATAATATAGATAATATAGATTTTTATTTTATTTATCAATTAAGAATTCTAGAATACATTTTACAACTGATACAGACCACTAGATGGAGTTAAAGTCTTAGATCTGACGAGGTAGGAGCTGTGCATTCATGTTCATAAATGATGCTCTGCTAGATGCTTAATATTTAAAAAAATCACATGACTACATGGTGTGCGATGCAGGGTTCTTGCTGGACCTTTTGCTACTATGATATTAGGAGATTTGGGAGCTGAGGTGATTAAAGTTGAGCGACCAGGTAAGGTTCATGTAAATAGAGTGGTAAACGTAAAAGTGTTTTATGCTTTGTAAACATCTTATATGACATATATCGCATGAATTTTAGTTTTAAGATGTTGCCATCATTTCAAGGATTAGATTCATCCCAAAAAGCAAATGCTGTTATTTCCTCACCTAACGATTTTCTTCTCTGCCACTGTTTAATATACTGACAGTGAATTAGGACTGGGGCCTTTAAGCTCTAAAGTCATAGAATACCCATTCATTAAGTTTTCTTGCATATCTATTAAACTCTTATTTGACCAAGCATGCCTCTACAGCAAATATTTTGAGGTAGGTAATGCTGTTTCCATGTTAAATGGCTGCACTATAATGACATTTCTCATATTAAAGCTTCACGTTGCCAGTTCCTGTAAAAACGATTCTTTGTTTAGTTCTAAACAGTGTGTGACTGCAGTGCTGTAGTGTTTCTGACTGATGAACTCTAGTGAACTATATTGAGCTGTGTGACAGGCTCAGGAGCTGACACAAGATCTTGGGGCCCTCCGTTTGTGGGTGAAGAGAGTGCTTATTTCCTGAGTGTGAACAGGAACAAAAAGGTATACTCCATTGTGTTTTTTTTTTTTACTAACATTTGATCAATTTTCAACTTTTAAAATGCATGAGATCATGATTTCTGCTATTGTAATTGTGATTTCTTTCTTGCAGAGCATCGCTGTTAATCTTAAAGATCCAAAGGGCACCAAACTTGTAACTGAGGTAAAAGTTCGACACAGTGTATTTGTTATTTGGTGCATTACATAACATTTGTTGTTTGATATATTTTGGCTTGAACACCTTGTCTGTTGCACTGCATTGCCTCTTTGTCAGCTTGCCAACATCTGTGATGTTCTGGTGGAGAATTTCTTGCCCGGGAAGCTGAATGAGATGGGACTTGAGTACGAGGAGTTGAGTAAAGTGGCCTCTCAGATCATCTATTGCTCTATAACAGGTGAACACATATTCACAATATGCGAAGACTAGCTATTTCCATCGTTTCTTCTGTATTATGACAAAGCTGCTTGTTTTTATTTTCCATCAGAAATTGGCCATATTAAATTAAATTAAAAGTTGTAGTTATATATTACAATTATATAAACTTAAACTGTTTATTACTTAACTGTTGTGTAACCACCAGGGAAAAACGTTTCGCACAATGCGGGACTTTTAATTATAAATAAGCCCGAAATACACGTGGACTTTTATTTTGAAATGTGTATGCTTTACCATTAGGCATGGGCGATACCCCTTATTTTGTTTTCGATACGATACCGATATTTTTCAAGGCAGTATTGTCAATATCGATACCGATTCGATACTTCTGCACTAAAATTTAAGATATTTAAGACGTTTTACAACCCTTAATTTCATAAAATGTTATGTTTTTTATATTTTTTAAAGACCCACACAGACTTTTTTATTTGTATCATGCTCCTAAATAGACATCTACTTTTAGATGCAAATGTGGGCAAAATTCTTACAATGTCAAGCTCTGGTTAAAAAAACAAAAAACATTATTTTAATTATTTTATGATTTTGTTATTCTTTTTTATTATATTATCATGTTATATGAGAAATTGTATGAGAAGTAGATTTAAGTTTTCATTTAAGTTTCATTTTAATTTAGATTGAATTTAAATTATTTTAAAGGTGACATATCATGAAAATCTGACTTTTCCAGGTTTAATCCCAAATTTTTCCCAGACATGAAAATATCAAAATGATGTGTCATTAGTAACGCTTTGAAATAATCAATAATTTTTTTTTTTTTTGGAAAATTGTGTGAAAAATGTTATTTTATGGTCAGTCACAATTGTAACCGGTGGGATAATGTGTATACTGAATTAACATATTTCTGCAGTTTTAAAAATTGTAATATATCTTAGCCCAGCTTTATTCGTCCAATTCAATGCATATTGTACGCATTATTATTACTATTATTTTTGTTAAATAAACAAAACCACTGGTAAATAAAACACACCTTAGTATCGATATTTTTTGTTTGTTATAATATTACCGCCCCTTAGTCTGTAGTACACCCACAGTGTACTAGTTCTAATGCCATGGCGAAAGTTTGAGCAAAACATGCTAACGGTTCTGTCTTTGGCTGCACAGATGAGCACAGAACACTATTTACAGTCCCCAACCTCAGAGGAGACAAGAGAGCAGTGCATTTATTGATGTATTTAATGTATATTGCTGCTGCCACACAGATCTACATAGCCAGGCATACAGACATAACCGACTGTTTTTTGTAACTCGTGTGTTTTTAACGTAAACTTGTGTGTGAATGAGAACTTAGTTTATTCGTCCAATTCAATGCATATTGTACGCATTATTATTATTATTATTTTTGTTAAATAAACAAAACCACTGGTAAATAAAACGCACCTTAGTATCGATATTTTTTTTTTAGTATCGATACTTTCGATACTCGCGTCTGTATCGATATATCGATACTTCGGATTGATACGCCCATCCCTATTTACCATTGCCAGCTGCTCATTCAAAAAGACTACACATTACAACATATTACAATAGAAACACCATAAAGTAAGCATTGCTTATGATCTACTGTTAATTATAATGACTTATTATTATCCTTTGGCATGAATGCATGTTATTTATTGATTGTAAACTGCTTTGAATTTGGACGTGTAGCTCTGACATATATTTAATGAAATCAAAGTCTTTTGAAGGTTAATAATCACATTAGGCTGTCATACAAATCCTGTTTGCCATCCCCAAATTTTATGAACCATTAAAGGTGACATATCATGAAATTCTGACTTATCCAGGGTTTCTACCAACCAAGGAAACGTGAAAAAGATTAACCCAGTAACTTTGTTTTGGGAAGCCTTTTTCTGCAAGCGTCTGAGAAAATGAGCGCATCTGATTTCGCTCCCTTGGTGACGTGGCAAAGGGATTTCATTATAATATTACCGCCCCTTAGTCTGTAGTACACCCACAGTGTACTAGTTCTAATGCCATGGCGAAAGTTTGAGCAAAACATGCTAACGGTTCTGTCTTTGGCTGCACAGATGAGCACAGAACACTATTTACAGTCCCCAACCTCAGAGGAGACAAGAGAGCAGTGCATTTATTGATGTATTTAATGTATATTGCTGCTGCCACACAGATCTACATAGCCAGGCATACAGACATAACCGACTGTTTTTTGTAACTCGTGTGTTTTTAACGTAAACTTGTGTGTGAATGAGAACTTAGTTTAGTACTCACATGCTGTGACAGCCGCTTTCTGTGCGTGTGCTTCGGATGTGTGCTCTCAGAAAACCATATATCAAAAGTTTAAACTCATATGGTTTAAAACGCATGATTTCAGCGCGATAAACATGATAATCAGAACCAAAACAGATGTTTTTAGAAGGTCCGAGCTGTAATGGCCAAATTGTAAAAAGGGGCATAATATGTCTCCTTTAACATGTTAACAATATTTTTTCATTTAAATACCTTTTGTGATCTTGAGGCCCCCTAGTGGACCCCGGCTCCCTGGTTAAGAACTACTGCTTGTTAAAGAGATATGTGCCATTGCACATTTTTGCAGTTTTCTCTTTTACTATGTATTTATGGTGCAGTCCATGGCGTGAATGAACAGAGAAACTGGGTGTGTTTGTATAAATGGAGGAAGACAGCAGCAACACAAAGCTGACGTGTTCTTCATTATGTTTACGTCTCCAGTTAAATACATAAAACCCCAGGTTTTCTGTTACTGTAGACACGCCTATGGTATTCTAAATCTGGCCTGCTTTTAACTCAAAAACCCTAATGTTTTCAGTTGTATGGCCCTTATGAAAAGGCTAATTTACTTTACTGTCTGATTTTTTTTAATCACACTCATAAAGGAAGCCACGCTTTACTTGAAAATTGTTCTGTAGCCACGCTAATCTGAAGCGGATGGGCACTGTCACCACGCTGGCTGCTTTGGTGATTGGTTTCACATGTCAGGCACCCATAAATCCTGCAGTCAAGTCACACTTGATAAGGAAATGGAAATCAGCATTTCTGTAGACGGGCACGCATCTCTCTGTGTAAAAAGTCACCAGTTTTGTTCAAACTACCATGCATGTTTTTCGATTATATAGGTATACAATATTTTACTACAGATTTGCATCTGGATTTAATACTGTTTTAGAACTACTGAGAAATGTCTGTTTTTATTTACATGAAAACATGAAGTAGTGTAGTTAAATTACAACATCTATCAGCACGCAAAAAATTCAAACCACTCAAATGAGTTCAGCAAACGATACTCTCATGTTGGTAGTGATCATGCATTTCATGCAAGTTGTTACATTGTATCAACACTGCAATGGCATCTCTTGCAGTTAGCAATGAATTGCACTCAAAGACTGCATTACTTTTCTGCTGTTCTCTGTAAGATCACAAATCACAGCCAAATTCCCATGTCTCGCGCTGCTTATAAAGACCTGGAGGCGTAACCCACAAGACCTCATTAAATTGTGGATGCTGGACAGTTAAATTAGAGTGATTTACTGTGCTCATCCTGTATCGTTTAATTTTTCCCTTCTGAAAGGATTTTGCACTTTCTTTTTGAGTGTAAAATCAGTCTGGAATGCTTAGATTCAACAAGTGCTGTTTGATTTATTACTTTTTTTATTATTTTTTATTATTACTTGACAGGGATTTTCAGGACGAGCCTCTCTAGTCGATTGACATCATTCTTCCTGGTCTTCTGTGGTTTTGCTGACCGTTTTGGTTTCTTTAAACCTGTGGATATCATTATTTTTATTTATTAAAGATGACTTCATATATTCATTCTCCAGAGAATTCCCGGAACCACAGCTTCCAACTCTAACATATTGGATCAAATTAAAGCTGCATCGTTGAACCAAAGTGATCATTTCCCTCTCAATTAGATTTGGCCAAAATGTAATTTGTGCTGTGTTGACTGTAATAGATATGGTAGATAGGAATTTATTTTTAGGCTTTCTGTGGTATCTAGAGAATGTTTATTAAATTGAAGCTGTGTCTGCTTGACAGAACATTGAAAAGGTTATTAGATATTAGAAACTTTAATCTAACAAAAAAACAAAATAGCATAATGAGTAGCTATTTTGAAACACAGTAAACATCTTAAATCGTGACCAGCTCTCAGGTCTTGTCTGCAAAGTTTCCTCAACTGTAACAATTAAAATCATACAACAGTGTGATCGTTTTGACGTAATTTGTTCTACAATAAAAGTGACTGACTTTTAAGCAGCTAAAGTGTAATATTTAGCTGTCTCACAATGTGCACTCAACACATTTATTAAAAAAATATATATAAAATTCACATAAAATTGAATTGACACACAGGAAATAACATAATTTGAGTAAATTATTACTCCATACACACACGCAAACACATTATATATATATATATATATATATATATATAACACAATATATGTTATGAATTTATTTTATAAAAAATACAGGAAAAATATAATATTGTGAAATATTATTATGGTGTAAAATAACATTTTTCTATTTTAATATACATTAAAATCGAATTTATTGCTGTGATGCAAAGCTGAATTTTCAGCATCATTACTCCAGTCTTCAGTGCCACATGATCCTTCAGAAATCATTCTAATATGCTGATTTGTTATCAA